GCCCTAGCGAAGCATCAAGAATTCAGCTATTGACAAGATTATGAACTACACCATTCAAAGTATTGGTGAGTTCAATCTCAGCTGAGGCCACAAGATGATGATGACTGATAGAAAGCTGACATTGTGCCACAAGCCAATATATTTTTGTCATTGATAAGTTGATGTTGAATATCAATGTCTTTATTTTAAATGCAAAAATATTCCCCCCAAAATATTTTAGCCATTCTATTCTTCAGCTTTCTTCTTATAAAAACTTATTCAAAAGAGAATGTATTATTATAACCTAGTCTGGTTTGAACCATGTTGTCTTAATTCATTCTTGCTGTCAGTTTTCTCAATGCCCTGTTGATTCTAGTTTCTTCTTTTAATAATCTGTTATTTTTTTATTTGTGTATGTTAACCTCATTAGTGTCAATATGTTGAAGAATAACATAAACAAGCTGTATAGACTGGCCTCATCAAGACCCCTCTTTTTTTTTGTTTCTCCATTTATATAAAACCTTTTATTTACAGGCCTCAAAATGAATATATTTCATTTAATGACAGGATTTTGGGATCATAATTTATGTACCAATTTCATTATGTTCATATTTCGTTAAACCCCTTTAAAGGTAACTTGCTTATTGATAACACAAGTGACTTTTAAATGCAAAGTACCTTCAATTGATATAAATTTTACTATCACTATTAGTTTTACTTTGTATTTTTAAGCTTACACACATTACCAACATTTTAAATATTTTGCCAGCATGTTGATGTGCAAATAGCAAAACATTTATTGATACAGAAAGTGAAATCAGCAAACCAAATCAATTGCATTCACTTTTGCAATAGCACCGTTGGGAAATGCAGAATTCAAACTCTTCCATTGGCTTCTGCAATGACTCTTAAAACTATAAATGCTTTTAAAAGTCCTTTTACACTACTGACAAACAAATTTATTTGGGATAATTTTTGTTCTCCATTGCTTATAACAACCGGTAAAAATCAAATCTTCTCCTTCACATATGTGTGTGTGTGTCTCTCTCTCTCTAGATATATATATATATATATATATATATATATATATATATATATATATATATATATTTTATAAAGAGGTAATCATACAAATAATAATAAATAACACATTCTTAAAAAAATATCTTTCAGTCTACAATACATTTATTTTCTCTTGGAGTTTACCTGTAAATGGAAGAATTATGCCGAGGATGAAAATGTGAAATTTTCGGAAGTACTTGGACCTACAACACCAAATCCATCTGACAACAATTTAAATATAAGGAGCATGTCATTCAATGAATTGTTATCAAGTTAATACCTTATTAAGTCTGTTAGCGAAGAGATTTCACCATTAATTACATTAACATTACTAATTCTTTAGATGATTACCTCTTTATAATATAATATATATACTGCACAATATATATATATATATATATATATATATATATATATATATATATATGAGAGATCATATATAGTTTAGAATCTGACAGAATGATAAGGAACAAATAGGAAACATTTATAAATTTAGCTGGTTTCACTTATATTTATGATTCATCAGAAAATGAAATATGGAGGAGAAAATAAAATGCTGATATTTTTTATTTTTGTGTTTGTTTTTCATTGGTTAAGCAGACCTCACATGTATTTGACTTGTCAACCAGCATTCATGCGTATAATTATTGTATGTTTGTGTATCACAATTCTATGCAAGATTTGGTTGATAATGTGTATGCGTGTCTATGAGTGTCTAGTGGGCATTTTTATTTCTTTCTAGTAATGTCCATATGTTGATTGAGATGTGTTTTGTATGAGAATGAAAGAAGTTAGGTTACACCAGTTCTGGTTGTAGGTATACAGATCTTAGATGATCTAAATATGGCTTTTATAAAAGTTTTTGATGTAATAAAATGTGTTTATTGATGGTAAAGTATTTATCAGCATTCCTTCTAAGTATTTTCTACATAATAAATTAGGTTCTTTTCTAATTATGGTGACATTTATTAAATCAGTTATGGCCTGTTTTGTTTCTGTGTGCTATGAGCAAGTTCAAAGAGTTGTTAAAATTTAGGTCTCTCTTAAGTTCATAGATGTAATCTTTTAGATTTCTATATGTTTCATCTATGTAGCTTTTCAGACATTACAGGTAATTTTATATCATAAAACCCAGCATCTGATGTGGTGTTAGATCTATTATTTTTACTTACTATATCTCAGTATTGGAGATGGGGATAAAGATCTTAGTGTTGGTTATAACTAGTATGTTTTCAAATTTTGTTGATAGACTTGGAGTGTAGGATTATGAATTTTGTGCTTTTGTTGCGGATGGTGCCAATTTTTTTGGACTGGTGAGTTTGTATGTGAATGTGAATGTAATTTTACTTTTTATTATGATGTAATTACTTATAACATTAGCTTTTCATAACAAAATTGTCAATCTATATTTTCATAGCTTTTAAAAGCAAATTCTGTTTGTAGTATTGGATTTTGTTAACCTATACAAAACATTAGCACCAGGCCACATCCTTAGAACATAAAATAAAGAACAATTTCATTGTTAATAATTCTTAGACTCATACTAACTGCAACACTAAAGTTTTATGGGTGAGAATACATTATATATATATAATATAAAAAGACATTTTTATGCTTATACATTCTTTTTATAGATACAAATATTTAAGTAAATGCTCTGTTTATAATAAACAGTATTAAACAACATTTACCGGCCTAAATGTCTGAGAAATTTTCATAGAAATATTCGTTCTCCGATTGTAGTTTAAAGACAGTAAAATCGACCTTGCTAACTGGACGCTCCTCTGTGGCCAAATTGGTTAAAGGCACGTCAGGCTATATGACAGTTCCGTATAGGATACAGGTTCGATTCCTGTCGGAGGACGAATATTTTCTATGAAAATTTCTCAGACATTCAGGCCGGTAAATGTTGTTTAATACTGTTTATTAAAAACAGAGCATTTACTTTAATATTTGTATCTATAAAAAAAATGTATAAACATAAAAATGTCTTAAAATAATTTTCAACTTTGTCCATTTTATAATGTGTGTGTGGGGGTTGAACCATAACACATTGAGGTATCTATATACCTCAATGTGTTATGGGTCAACCCCCACCCCACTTTCAAACAAATATTGGAAGAATTTTCCCAAATTTAATTCATAAACACTTCAATCATTCTGCAATATTAAAGAAGATTTTTAACAAAAATAATGTAAAGATCAGCTATAGCTGCATTAGAAACATTGAAAAATCAATAACCCATCATAACAATATTATACTGAATAAATATATCACCAACAAAAACATAATAAAAAATAATTGCAACTATTGAAAAGTTATGATCTGTCCCTTAAAAAGCCAATTTATGACTAAATATTGTATACTGAGCTAGCATACATTCCAATAGTGATGTCAAATTTTATATTGGGTCCACTGAAAATTCTTGGAAATTTTGTTTTTATCATCAAATAACTTTAGATAATGTAAGATAAGATACATGAATTGCATGGCTCTCTCCAAATATTTCTGGCAATCAAAAAAAAATGATGGTGATACACCCATAATTATGTAGCAAAAAACAAATCTTACAGTGGGAAAAGTGATAGATATAATTGATGGCTTGTCAAAAAATTAAAACACTTAAATAACCCTAACTTATTAAATAAGAGAAATGAATTGATGGTTATACATAGGCATAAAAATAAATACCTGTTGAAATATGTTGATCCAGATTAATTTCTACTGTATATTATAAGCTTTCCTGTTCTAATTTTCTTCTGTTTATTTATGTCAAGTGTATATAATTTTTTTTTTTTTAGTTATAGGTACGTCTATTTTAAAGCAAAATCTTTTAAAATCCAGAAATCCCCAGATAATATATGGACTGTGCCAACATTGTGTTAGATATTTTTATTATAATTTATGTAATGGCCAAAGTGTGTTATTATATATATATATATATATATATATATATATATATAATTATTTATTTATTTTTGAATTTTCCTATACTTGTATTTTGATTGGTCCATCTAGCTTTTGTAACGTTTTCCCCTTGTGAAGGATTGTTAATTAATTTGAAACTTTTAAAACTATTTATTTTACATTCTTCATCATCACTTGATAAGACACCGAGGGTGTTGAAACAAAATGGCTATTTTTGTAGTGATTTTATAACATATTTATGTTATAAATTTTTTTTAAATAAATAATTATATCTGCTCTACTTTGTATTGAGCACTCTTTTAAGAATAGTATTTGGTTGGTTATTGAATTCATTCCATATACACCAATCATATACTTGGGTATATATATATATATATATATATATATATATATATATATATAAGTGCGTAGATATGCAGAAAATAGAAAAGAACACGTTGGGTGCATAATCCGGGGTTCCTTAGTATTTTTATTTTTAAGAAGATACATATAAATCATTCTTAGTCTAACCAAGAAGCCACTTCAAAAATAAATAAATAAATAAAATAAACCAATAAAAAGACCTAATTTTGTCAGATTATGGGAAGTGGGATATTACTATTATTAGAAAGCTTTCACATATGATTCTTTAAATATATTTTTCCAATTATAATTTTTATATTCTTTTTCAGACTCAGTCTACTTTCATCTCAGATATTTTTCTGCAAGCATCATTGTCATAACAAAGATATTGCCAGCCAGCACCGTTATTGCAAGGAAAATTTACACACTACCAACAAAAAATAATTTTCTGTATTATACAAAGATTTGACTATAGATTTTAAACAATTTCTTTGCCTACTTGTTGTACTCATATCAATCTCAATTCCAATATTCGTTATTTATATATAATTATCAAGATATAATATTTTTTAATAAAGCACATAAAAAAACTTCAGAATTCAGATGTTTTGAATTGAAAAAAAGAAAAAATAGTCATTATTTTTGTCCTTTGAACAATTTAACCTGCTTCATATTATAGAATGCTTACCTTGTTGGTTCTTCAAGCTTTTCTCGAGTGCTTGGATCAAAGTCAACTCTTTTCACAGTTGATTTTGATGATTTATCTTCATTTTTTGCTTCCTGCAAATAAAAAAAAAAGACTCAATGTAAAAGCTTGGTTTTATTTTATTGATATTTATTTACATACACATGTTTATATACATTCATACAAAAATATATATATATATATATATATAGAATAGATTAAGTCCAACGATTATAAAAAATAACATATAAACAGAAATTATATAAAAACATGGAACCTATCAAGATGTCTGTATAGAATAAAAAGGAAAAATCAATAAACAAAAAATCAGTATAAAATAAATAGTCTGTAATATAAATAAACATGAATGGTTGAAGTGCTTATAAAGTTAGATTTTTCAAAAGCCTAATTCTGATGCTCATGCCATTTGAATAGATAGTTTCTTTTAAATTTTTAAAATTGTTGTTTTTTAAATAAATTTATTTGTAATTTGATTATGGAAACAAATTTCCTTTAAAAATTGATAAACGTATCCAAATTTATATACTGAATATATGATTACCCAATAAAAATAAATCTGTTTTTATTGTTCTTGTAACAACTTGTAAAATACTTATAAATTAAATTTTACTATAAAAACCACTTTTTCAAATCTTCTCTACACTTAGTAAATTTTTTTACACAGCATACTGAATTATTTTTTTAAATATTTTATACTCTGCTTCAGATATATTTTGTATATATGATCTATATATGTAGGAGAAAAAGAAAGCGACTTGAATATATTTATACACATACACACAAGTTGATCAGTACTTCCTATTTCAATATGTTAGTCCATGACATCAGAGGCAGAAATGTAGCAGTTTAAGTTGAACCATCTTATCACTAGTCTGTACTTTTTCTTTGGCCTTGTTACAGAGTTTGTTAAAATAGCATTTGATATAAATGTGCATAAGGGTATGATTGAATACCTACCTACACACAAAAAAAAAAAAAAAATACACCCACTGACATTCAGGAACACATGTTTGATTTTTATGGAGACCAAATAATGGATGAGAGTACAGTATGTGGGCAGTGTATTTCAGCAGTGGTAACAGTGATGTGTAAGTTATCTCAGCTGCTGTAAATTTTTATGAGTATAGAATACACACACTTATATAGATTTAAATATATTTTTATGTAAGCATACACAAATATATATTTATGCATGTTTCATTAAAAACGACAGACAAGGTACTACGGTTGAGCTTTTTATTTAATTTTTCTTGTGTTCTGACAAGAGCTTTCTTTTCTGGACAAAGAGTGTGTAAGAACTGTCCGAATGTTCTGTATTTCCGAGTGCTTTCGGCTATACTTTAGCCATTATCAAAGATGATTCGATTATCAGCTTAGTAGAGTGTGTGTGTTCTGTGTATGTTCGGTGTGTGGTAGTGATGTTTTTACACACTCTTTGTCCAGAAAAGAAAGCTCTTGTCAGAACACAAGAAAAATTAAATAAAAAGCTCAACCGTAGTACCTTGTCTGTCATTTTTAATGAAACATGCATAAAGGAAGGATTGCTGCCTAAATATACAAATATATATTTAAATATATATACTCATGCTTCTCTCGTTTTTACACACACACACACATTATATATATATATATATATATAAATACACACATATCTACACATATATAACCACACACACATATCTACACATATATAACTACACACACACACACATATATCTACACATATATAACTACACACACACACACATATATCTACACATATATAACTACACACACACACACATATCTACACATATATAACTACACACACACACACACATATCTACACATATATAACTACACACACACACACACACATATCTACACATATATAACTACACACACACACACACACATATCTACACATATATAACTACACACACACACACATATCTACACATATAACTACACACACACACATATCTACACATATAACTACACACACACACACATATCTACACATATAACTACACACACACACACATATCTACACACATATAACTACACACACATATCTACACATATATAACTACACACACACACACATATCTACACATATATAACTACACACACACACACATATCTACACATATATAACTACACACACACACACACATATCTACACATATAACTACACACACACACACACACCTACACATATATAACTACACACACACACACACACCTACACATATATAACTACACACACACACACACACATACACATATATAACTACACACACACACACACACATCTACACATATATAACTACACACACACACACACATATCTACACATATATAACTACACACACACATATCTACACATATATAACTACACACACACACACATATCTACACATATATATATCTTGCTACTATAAACATTATTTTTAGTGGTTACATGTGTTTAAATTGCTATCACTGTTTTTTTCTTATTTTATTAAAAAGTGAAATTGGTAACAACCAGCCTAAATTGAGAAGTCTTACTAAAGAAAAAAGGTGTATACGCACACACATATAAATGGACATTGAAGTCAACGCATAGAGGTAACAGTGTGTTTCATGCTAAACACAACCAATGGCCTGATGATTGTGTTTAGCATGAAACTCTGGATGTTGACTTCAATGCCAACTTTTATATTCACATATGCTCTATCCTTGATATTGAGCACTTTAACTCATAAATATAGCATACCTTAAAACTATATATATATATATATATATATATATAAAAACAGAAAATATGTTAAAAAATTATTGGACTTAATCCATTTCATGATTATTATATATATATATATATATATATATATATAAAAATATCATTTTCTTTTTAAAAATATGATTCTATTGTGATACAGAAAACTTCCATGTTTCAAATCTGAAAGTAAATTTATAAATTTAATTATAAAAATTAAACTTAAAATCCACAATCTCAATCCATTTCAAGTGATGTTATAAATAAACTTTCAAAGAAATTTACTTAATTTATAAGTCCAGACAATATTGATATTATAAGTTGTTAAGATTAAGCAAAATCTATTTAAATTTAGGGGTGGTTTGGGTTTAATTTCCCTAGACAGCTTATGTATTGAACATATGTTACTTACAAAGTCAGGTTAAGTTTAAGTGGGGTGAGGAGTTCCTGCTAACAAACATATACTTCCATTATTCTGTGAGTTGTCTAGGTTTTCAATGATAAAAAAATTTTGGCATTTTTATTCATCTGCTAAATTCATATTTAAAAAAAAAAATTGGGGCATTTTTATTCATCCGCTTAATTCATATTTTTATACACAAAGATTTTCTAAAAGGGTCATTTAAATATGTACAAGACATATTTTTAATATTTAAATTTTATTAATAATTAACAATTCATAATATCAAAATTGCCTGCGCTTATAAATTAAGTAAATATCTTTGAAAGTTTATTCCTAACATCGCTTGACAATGCTACGAAACCATGGATTTTAAAAGCTTAATTTTTTATAATTAAATTTATAAATTTAGTTTCAGCTTTGAAACATGGAAATTTTTTTGTGTCATGATGGAATCATATTTTAAAAAAGAAAATAATTATAATATTTTATTCTACTGTTTGTATTGATCACTGTTTTTTAAAAAATAAAATAATAGCTAAGAACACCAGATTATAAATCTTACGGTTCTTTCTTATTATTTTAATATATATATATATATATATATATATATATATATATATATATATATATATATATATATATATATATATAGGCAGCATGTTTTCATATGTGGTACCTTCTTTGTGCTCTTTAATCCTGAAACAATGAAGCTTATACACATGATTACGAAAGAATCTTATTAAAAATAAACACAGCTTGTCTAAACTGTTTAATCAGATATATATATATATATATTTTTTTTTTTTTCTTTTTATCTTATTCAATATTTTATTATTATATATTCCTTTTCCCCACCTTTTTTCTTTCTTTCCTGTTCTCCCTTTTCATCACAATCTAAACAGTCCTGTCTTTCAACACTGCTAATTTTTGCTACAACTTGCTACCCGGCTTTCCCCCTCCCCAACCTATAATACTCTTCATCAATGTTTACAATCTCACTCCCCACCCCTGGTACACATTAGTAACAATAGACCTGGCTAAGACTTTTACACTGATCAAAATTTTAAATTTAAGTTTTTCATAAAAAGTTTTGCACACCAAAGAAGCACACAGAGATCTGGTTTTTGCTAATAATGATTTCCACTAGAAAATAGACCCCATCTACAAAAACAAGTGTTGTTGAGTAATTTCCATTTCTCAGTTCCTCAGACCATTGATAAAGGACACAAGCATGTCCGAAAATTCAGAATATAAAAACCTCTCTCTCCGTGCTTCTTTTCTGTCATTAATATTTAATAAATATTTATTACTGATTATATTCATACCCTTTCATTTGGCCTTGTTTTATTAATCAACCTATTTTATATTATTTTATTTATATATATTAGAATATTTTGTATAAAATATATTAGAATACTGTGTGTGTGCATATATAGATATATATATGCACACACACAGTATGTGTGTATCTCAAGCTTTGACTAAAACAAATGACAAAGTCGAGAACTACTTTTATCTAGAACAGTTAATTTTCATTGGATGCTTTATAAATATATCTTTCTATAAAACTTAGTATATCCCAAACAAAACAGCAAGTAATAACTGTGCAGTACTAAATAATAACAAAATTAAATACCCCTAGACATGAACAGTGAAACCCATAGATCAAATAAAGTTCAATTCAAAATTCCCTGAAGATTACTCAGATCAATAGACACCTGAAGAAGAGCACAACACCCGAAACACTGTAATTATAATAATACAGATGAGGGCATTAATCAAAACGTAAATAAAACCTGTCTATTTATTTATTTTTTTTTTTTTACTCACATCTGATTCAATGTGGATGAGAACTTAAGATCTTTTCTCTAATCAATATTTTTATGATCAGATCTTAGTTCACATGACACTTTTCTGATCCACACTGATACAAT